ATGTTATGCAGGGTGCTCTGCTTTCTTTAGTTATCCGATTTAACTGTGGAACGTATCTGAAAAATACCTTCACAGCAACACTTAGACTGATGTTTGACCAAATAGCTGAGAACTATCACCTACCCAAGGTGACCATCACAGGCCCCTTGGAAGATGGCGTGGCATAGCGATTACTCCTAAGGAGGTGCTTACTCTTGAAACTGGTTAAGTATGAGGTCAGTCCCTAAAGTGAGTGTCTTCTTAAATTCTGAGTTCCATTTGTGAGAGAGAGAGAAAGGGGTGGGGGAGAGAGAAGAAGAAGAGGAGGAGGAGGAGGAGGGGGAGGAGGAGGAGGAGGAGGAGGAGAAAGAGAAAAGAGGGGAAAAGAAAGGGGCCAGGGACAAGATATTGTCCCCAAGGGCATGCTCTGAAAGACCCTCTCCTTTCAATTAGGTCCCACATCATACAGTTTCCACCAAGTCCAATAGTCCATTCAATTATGAATCAATAATTAATCAGTGGGTTAATCCATTGATGAGGTTAGAGTCCTCATGATCCACTCACTTCCTCAAAGTCCCACCTCTGAACACTGCTGCCCTGGGGACTAAGCCTTATTCATGTGAGCCCTTGGAGAACATTCCTGAACAAAACCATAACAAACTTCCTTATAGGATAATAAGACAATCTCTCTAATAACCTATCAGCCAATATCATGCCTTGGCGCATGTGATTTCCGTGGCAGTTAGGGTGGAGAGCAATCCCTGAACCTGGCTCTTGGACTCTATGTAATCCAGTCCCAACCAACAGCTATCCTCACTTTGCTCCATACTTCTCTTAGCTGAGTCCTGGCACCAACAGCTGCTCCTAGTCACTCAAGTGTATGACTTTGGGTAGCGGCAGTCCCTGACCTATTCAGGCCAGCTGATCTGTTCCTTCTAGCACTTTCTTACTGGAGGCTGCTCCTACCTGCACCGGTTTTAACTTCCTTCCTCAGTAATCTTCTCAGCACTTCCCTGCCAGGGTCATATGAACCTCTTATTCTCTTTCATATAAATCTTCTTTGTAGCTTTTAATGTAGGTAGATATTTACATTGCTGAGTGATTATTTGATATTTATTTAATGTCTATTTTCCCAACTGTATTGCAAACTTGAAAAGAGCAAGCGCTTTATCTGTTTTGGTCATCATTGGACTCTTATCCTTTAGTAACCAAAAATAATGGTTGTGAGAAAAGAAATAAGCAAGGAAGGAATGAAGGAAAAGAAATAAAGTAAAAGAAGAAATGAAGGAAGGAAAGAAGGGAGGGAGGGAGAGAAGAAGATTGTGGAGTGGCTGGCAAGTAGCTTCTGCTTAATGCTACATGGCAGGCTTGGAATTTCTACTGATGACCTGTCAGCCAGGTAAGGATGGCCCATCCTGTCCAGAAAGAACTATATATTGCTCTTCTCATGTCTAGTAGCTTTTCACTGACTGGCAGGTGCTTTTCTGATGAGACTTAGAAAATGGATTGGAGGATTTTTAAAGAATTTAATTTTCTGGGAACCAAAGAAGTAGACGTGAGCAGGTAGATGCGTGAGTTGACGCTCTTCTGAGTACCTCAATTAAATGGCTGGTGGCAACATGTTTCCCATGGATCAAGCTCCATTCTCCACCCGACACCCTCTCAGGCTCTCTTAGTCAGGGATTGTTGGTTGTGGCAAATGGAAATCATGTCAAGCTACCTCAGTAACAGTGGGGAATTTTATTGTCAAGACAAAATAGTCAATTTCAAGGATAAGGGAGCTGAATGCAAATAGGCACCCTGGGAACTGGACTCCAAAAAGCTACTGGGAACCAGAACTTTGTTCTCATATCTCAGGGGTGTTGTGGTCTGATTCATCTCGGATTCACTCTGATTCTTTTTGAATCCTTTGACCAATGTCCTCTGTACAAGGGCTAAATATGACCACCAGCCCTCAAATATATGAAGATAATCAGTTCAAGTTCTTACTACCAGAGTGGCTTACAGTATCTACGTTTCTTGGTTAAAATTCTTCAGAGAAGAAACATGAATCAACTGACCAGTCTCAGCATTTATAATGTCCATCGAGATCATGCATTCAGATAAGGTCTGGGGCATATGACACGAACAGGGTTGCGCAGGTTTGATGTGCCTTATATATTTTTCATAGTGAGAGTCATAAAAGAAATAGACCATGCCTGGGGGTATCAATTCCAAACCATGTTTATTATACAAGCATTCAGAGTTCAAGTCCCTGATGCATCACACATCTTTGAAACCTGCCCAAAGTTCACCATAGATCTCTTGGAACGCTACTTATTTCTAGTCATGGGTACACCGAGACCAGACTGGTAATAGCTTGGAGGAATTGAGAAATCTTCAACAGCTTTCCCGACCCTCAAACCTATAATAGATCTTCTTATTGTAGGTGGCCAGCCATGAGCCACTTATGAAGGGTGCATATACTTTGAATTTTATTCTGAAGGTGATGAAGATGTTGGAACAGGGAAAAGACATTTCAGCTTTTTCTGTAAAGAACGGACAGAAAGGAGTTTAAAAGTGAGAGTTTGAAAGCAATTGACAATAGTCTAAAACATTTTGAGAACAGCTGAGCTAGGATGGTAATGGTGGAGAAGGAGGTCAGGTTTGAGATGTTTTCTGGAGGTAGATTTAAGAAGATTTACAGATAGTATAGCTGACTTTATTTTTTAAAGATAACCACACCAAAGATACATGCACTCATACTCTCCTTGCAATATGATGTTGATATATGCCTCCATTGAGATGTGAGGGTTTATGATCCTTCCTCTCAAAACCAGGCAAATCTTAGCAGGTAGTTCAATCAATAGAATGTGGAGGAGGGGACATATGTGAATGCTGATGCTAGGTTTCTAAGATGGTTTCTGTCTGGCTCCCACTTTTGCCCAAAGAACTCAGTCACCATTTTGTGAGGAAGCCTATAGTACATGAAGAGGCCATGGGAGGAGTGTTATGGTCACAGCCCGGATAGTCCTTCAACTGTAGCCAGATATGCAAGTGAGTGAGTTAATAAAGTCCTAGCCCTTCTGCATGGTATCTGTGGCCTTGCTATGTACTGTTTGAATCCCTGAATCCAAGAACCCATGAGTGAGAATAAAAATAATTGTTGTTTGAAGCCATTGAGTTTTGGAATAATTTATTATGTGGCAATAGACAACCACAGATTAAATGTTGAATATACGAGAAAACAGGGAAGAACTGGATGTAAGGATTTTGATCAGAGGGAGCAGAACATTTTTTGTTTTCATTTTCAGTGCACTGTCGGTACACATTATAGTGAGGTTCATTTAAACATATTCATAAATGCATATAGCGTATTTTTCTCCATTTCAGTCCTCAGTATTATCCCTTCTTCTTCCCTCCTTTATCCTCCGGATCCCCTTACTCTATTCCATTGGTCTTTATTCTATTTATTTTTAAATTAGTGCACTATAGTTATATATAAAATTAGAATGCATTGGGATATGTTCACACCTGCATATAGCATAAGTTGGTCAGTTCTCCCCCTTTCCTTTTCCTTCCCCACCTCCTTTTTCATTGGTTCCCTGCTTGTACTGTACTGTTTCCCTTTTATTTAAAATATTTTTTAAAAAGTGGACTCATGTGTTCTCCCTGGGAATATGAGGTTTGAGATAGTTTCCCCCAGTACCCTCTATTCACACTGCCCTTCCTGTTTCTTGAACACAGCATGTTTACTCCCCTTCTAGCTTACAATGATGGAATCACCCGTCATATATTTTGTAATAGATGGAAGTGACCCTGGGTCACAAGTGGATTGAACCACAACTTTTTCTTAACTCAGTTTAAGCCAATTAGAATAATTTCCTGGGAATTTGGAAGTAGGTCGATAGAGTTAAGAGGTGTGCATGCAACTAAACCCAAAGCATCTAAACTTGGATTCTGTGAATTTATATATTCTGCACAGCACAGTAGGTAGAAGGTGGAGAGAGAGAGAGAGAGAGAGAGAGAGAGAGAGAGAGAGAGAGAGAGAGAGAGAGAAAGAGAGAGAGAGGAATACCAAGAATAAACTTATACAATAGATGGACAGGAAGTACTACCCGACTTCCTACAGAGTTTCCAACTGGAATCCTGGCTGGGTTCTGAATAGACATTTTTTTTGGCACTGGGGGTTGAACCCAGTGGTGCTTACCCACTGAGCCACATCCCCAGCACCTTTAAAAAAATATTTTTATTTAGAGACAGGGTTGCTGAGTGTTTCTCTTTGATCTTACTATCCTCCTGCCTCTGGCTCCCTAGCCTCTGGAGTGTGCAACTGTGCCCTGACTTGAATATACATATTCTTATAATAAAATTTATTTTGCTTTGTACTTGTTGTCTTTGTTCAAGTTGTCTTTGGTGGTTTACAACAAAAGAGTCCCAGCTGACATATACAGTTAATCAGAAATTCCTTTCCTCTCCAGTAGGTGACACCAAGCTCAAGGTTCTTTGAAATGGCATTGCTAGGAGACTTCCTGGACACCCCGAGCTCTGCCTTACCTTATGGGGCCTCCTGGACACCCCAAGCGCCATCTCACTTGCTCAAGGTATAGACAGATCTTGACCTCATGGTGCTAACAGACAACTTGATACTCCATACCGATCATGCTGGTTTGGTCAAGGTGATTACATGGTTTACACATATCGTTACTACATGGGATCTTTTGGTTTACATCTTGGAGAAATAAGAAGATGAAGGAGTCCTTGAGGAAGGTTCCTAACAGTTATTCTCTGTAGCTGTGTAATGTGCTAACATGCCATTATTTTCACCAGTTACTGGTAATGAGGCGTCATTAGTAAAAAATGTCTCCACTTTGAGAAAATCAGCTTTCATCGCTGAGAAGTATTATGCTGTGTTTGAATGTGTTTATTGTAATGATACATAGAAATAGTGTATCCCTCCTAATGATGGGTTGTCAGGGTGTTAAAATTCAGACTGGCTTGCGACTGTACCGAGGATGTGATTAGTGAATACATGCTATTAATTGTTCCAGAGCAAAGCATAAGAAAGAGCCTTCCATCAGTGAGGCCATCTGTGTCACACTACGGAAGTTGGAAAAAGACCTTCTTGGATCTTTGTAAAAGGTAAGGCACTCAATGGAGGGTGATTTTAATTTCTGGCATTGTAATAAGCAGGAAAGTCAAAGGAAAAATACGGCTTCCTGTGCCAGCTGTTAGTACTAAGATAATTTGATGTCGTCCTTTTGAAAAGTACAAGAAAAAATGAAATAACAACTTGTGTTTCTTGAGCACTTTCTATATGCCCCATGAGGTTCTAATTCATCTGTGTAAGGTTGGTGGGTGTGAATGGCCCCGGGTAAGCTTCTAGCCCCTGCCCCCCTGTGTCCCTGCTTCAGAAGAACAGGGAAAGTCACATAATCTTCTCAGGATACAGTGCATATGGCACTGTTCTGAAACATCGAAGGTACTCTGTGAACACAGAGCACATCACTTTTTCTATGCATTTTTCTTCAGGAGGAAGGCTGAGGTGGACAGAAAGTGAGGCAGAAGTCTTGGTCAGAGTCTACACGGCAGTGAGGGGGACAGACAATAAATACAATAAGTAAGTTATATGTTATTTTCTAGGCTATGCAAGAAAATTAGGCAAGACAATGAGAACAGGAAGTTTGAAATTTTAAGTGTCAAAGTTGAGGCCAAAATGCCACTTCTTAGAAATCATCTCCTCTGAATTTGCATCATGGTTTGGAAATGATTGATCATATATATGGCCTTCTTATGGTAGCCTATAAAGCTATTGAAGGCAGGAGATATGTGTGTCTCTCTCTCTATGTATAAATGTCAGTCCTGGCTACTAGGGCACCTTCCACAAGGAAAGATGGATGACAAAGTGACCGAGGGTGCAGATGGTTCCCACCTGTCCTGTGCCTGGTTCCTCCTATCCCAAAGGAGTTTCATCTAAACCTTCTTCTTTTCCTTTTTCTTGCCTGGACATTTTGAAAGTCATAAAAAGTGCTTGTGCCTCAGATGCTAAGAATAATTGCCACAATTTCTCAGCTGCAGAGAGCTGGCCAAGGTTATGCCAACCTGCACACTCTGCCAGTTGCTTCTCGGGGAAATGCGCTTGTCCTACTTATTTTCCCCCTAGGGTTTCTCTTGTGTTAAAGATTAAAGGGAGAAACTCGATGAAGCACCTGACCCCAGAGAGGGCCAACTGGTGGCCACAATGGGCCTCTTCTTCTCTGCAGTGAATGGGTTTCTATTTTACCATCTCTGCGGAAAGGCTGGGTATTTACAAAGCGTCCGTTCTCCCAGGTCACAGGTGGCGAGGGTGGCAGCCTATGATTCATGACATCACTATGACAGAGGAAACTGGGAGATAGATGCTTCCTCCTGGGACAAGGCAGAACTGAAACTTCAGGCTCCCTCATCCTTCTTAATGATGGCCCAATAAAGCCCGTGGCTTTAAGAAATGGGGACTGAAGAGAAACCTCAGGCCACGGTGTGCCATCTGTACAAAAGGAAACTCCAGTATCAGCAATAACCTCTCCCTGGAGACTCAGACCAGTCACTGACTGGTCACAGGGCTGGCATAGAACACACAGACACAATCTTGTGCCTGAGCCAGGAGCCCCCAGCAGATGACTCCCAACCTGCTTCTGCTTGCATGGGAGATGCACATGTGGGAAGAAAAAAGAATCATTAAGTGAAACGTCTCCAGCTTCCTGTCGTTAAGTGACTAAACTGTGATCATCTCTATAGTTTGTGTGTGCGTGCGGGGAACAGTGAAAAGCAACAGAGATGCGAGCGTGAAAGCTCAGAGATGGAGAGACTCACCCAGGATCACACAGCTTTAGTCAAGGATGGTGGTGGGGCTGGGCCAGGGTGTCCTGTCACCCCGAGCAGAGTTCACCTGGAGATCACCATCAGTGGATGACCAGAAGGTCATGAACAGAGAAAAAACAAGGAACAAAGGAGACACACCGGGGAAAGGGGAAGGGGGCTTCAGGGAGGAGTCTGATCCCATTCACCCTGACCACACCTGTCCTGTGCTGCCAAATCAGCTTTTGGTTTTTACTTGTCCTGAGGACAATGGCTCTGTTTAACATTGACCTTGCTTCCAGTTTCTTTGTAAAAGAATATTATTTTAATTGTATATAATTTGACATAGACATACAATGTGGAATGACCACCTCAGGGTAGTTACCATTTCCATCTCTTTAAAAACATTTCATTCCAGCGAATACTAAGCCTTGCCTATGTGGCCCAGCTCTAGAATTCTGGCATGGCTTTCCTTAATTCATTAGCAAAATGTTCCAGCCACATTGCTTGTCACATTGAATTTTAAGAGAGTTCCTTTTCATATGATTATTATTTTTCTTCTTCTTTTTTTTTTTTAGTTGTAGATGGACACGATACTTTTATTCATTTATTTATTTTTATATGATGCTGAGGATTGAACCCAGTGCCTCACACATTCAAGGCAAGCACTCTGCCACTGAGCCACAACCCCAGCCCTCATCTGATTATTCTTTTGCTAGATTCTGATCTCCTTGCCATCCTTGAACACACCAGGCATGATGAAACCTCAAGACTTTTGCACTTACTGTATCCTCTCCTACAATACTATTCCTCTAGATGGCTTGCTGTCTGGATCCCTCTAAAATCTTTGCTCACAGATCACCTTTTAATGAGATTTTCTCTGATCACCCTGTTTAAAATGGAAAACAAGCTCCCTGACATTCTTTTCTGCTGTACTTTTCTAGATAGCCCTTATCACCATCTAATATGTTTTCCTCTGGAATTTTAGCTTCTGTCACCCTACAAGAATGCAAGTTCATGAGGGCATAGCTCTCTGCTGTGTTCTCAGTGCTTTAAAAAAGTCCCTGGCAGGTGAAAGTACTTAGGAAATATTTGTGGGATAAGTGATGAATGAATAAAGGTACAATGGCTTGTCAGAAATACCACAGTTCCTGGCACATAACATATGCTTAATTTCTGTGGAAGGGAAAACTCACTTTCTTCCTCCCAATAAGAAAGTCTTCTTCTCCATCTTGTCACAAATGGGCTCTTTAGGTAACAGGCTCTCCACATCCAGAATCCTCTGCAGACATTCTTAAGCTTGTCTGTGATTCCCCCAGTGGACTGTTTGCTTCTGTAGCTCCCTCTCCGTTCCTTTTTGAAATACGCCAGTCACTTCCCGTGACTGCTTTGATGTCTGTTTTCCCCAGGGGGCCTTGAACTTTTCAGTGGGGAAGGGTAGTGTGAGCCTTGCTTGCTGCTGTTTCTGTACCTTCAGTTCACTGCCTGGCGTCAGAGGACAGCAAATGAGTATCTGTTGATGGAAGGGACCAGGTGCCGCTAGCAGTGCCAAGGAGAGAGTAGAATACATTCTTTGACTTCAGGGTCCAGTGAGGGATGCTTTAGGGAAGTCCCTCCCCTCGTGCCTTGGTGAGTACATCATGTGGGAAATTCCTTCTTCTGAACCACTGACGTTTACAAAATTGTGCACCTTCTGGAGTTCCAAGATTAAACATAGAGATTCTGTTGTTTATTCAGCACAGGAAAATTATAAAACACTCCCTGGATTTCTCTATTTTTAAAAAATATTTTTTAGTTGCCAATAGACCTTTTTTTAAAAATTTATTTACATCTGGTACTAAGAATTGAATCCAGTGCCTCACACATGCCAGGCAAGTACTCTACCACTGAGCTATAATCCCAGCCCAAGGATTTATTTATGTTTAAAAACTGCTGTTCAGAAGTTTTTCAACTTGTAGGAAAGAGGTAGAGATGGTGGGTCACCAAAAAGCCTCATTCTAATAACATCATCACCACCACCACCACCACCACCACCACTATAACTTGATTTATCCTAATGGAAGAGATATGATTAAATGTAATGAGTGCACAGCCTGTGAATTTTCCATAATATACATTTTTTTAGGTATTTGGTTTCTTTTACAGACTTAGTTGGATTTTGTTTTACGAAAATCAGAATTTTTTTGTTTTAACAAACTTAAAGCATACATAAATATATAAAGTAAAAAAAAAAATAAGTGCGATTCCTTCCTTTTCAGAGATTCTGACTTTCAATCTTATCACCCAGGCACGTGATTAGTTTGTATGAGTCTGTTTATGCTCATTAAACTATTTGCTTTTTTTCTAAACAAAAATCATATCATAATTTACATCATTTTCTGATACTTTTCATTTTATGTTACAATTATGGATAACTCATCATTTGTTAATTTCAGGCATTCCTTCTCTTTTTTAAAAAAAATTAATTGTTTTAATTAGTTATACATGATAGTAGAATACATTAATGCACTTTGATACATCATACATAAATGGGATATAATTTCTCATTTTTCTGAGTGTAGGTGTTGCAGAATCATATTGGTCATGCAGTCACATATATACATACAGTAATAATGTCTATTTCATTCTACTATCTTTCCTATCCTCACATCCTCTACCATCCCCTCCCATCACTTCCCTCTACCTAATTTAAGGTAATGCTATTCTTTCCTAGCCCCCTCCCCGCCTTATTTTGAATTAGCATCTGCATATTAGAGAAAACATTACGCCTTTGGTTTTATGGGATTGGCTTATTTCGCTTAGTATGATATTCTCCAACTCCAACCATTTACTGGCAAATGCCATACTTTCACTCTTCTTTAAAACTGAGTAATATTCCATTTGGTATATATATATATATATATATATATATATATCACATTTTCTTTATCCATTCATCTTTTGAGGGACACTTAGGTTGGTTCCATAATCTAGCTATTGTACATTGAGCTGCTATAAACATTGATGTGGCTGCATCACTATAATATGCTGATTTTAAGTCCTTTGGGTACAAACCAAGAAATGGGTCAAGTAGTGGTTCCATTCCCAATTTTTTTGAGGAATCTCCATATTTCTTTCTATACTGGTTGCACCAATTTGCAGTCCCACCAGCAATGTGTGAGTGTACCTTTTTCACCACATCCTCACCAACATTTATTGTTGCCTATATTCTTGATAATTGCCATTCTGACCATCATCCTTGAAACTCCAGTCAGAGCAATTAGACAAAAGAAAGAAATTAAAGGGATACAAATAGGTAAAGAAGAACTGAAACTATCACTATTTGCTGATGACATGATTCTATATCTAGAAGATCCAAAAAATTCCACCAGAAAACTTCTAAAAGTAATAAATGAATTCAGCAAAGAAGTAGGATATAAAATCAACACTCATAAATCAAATGCATTCCTATACATCAGTGATGAATCTGCTGAAAGAGAAATTAGAAAAACTATTCCATTCACAGGTCTCAAAAAATCAAAATACCTGGGAATCAATCTAACAAAAGAGATGAAAGACCTCTACAATGAAAACTACGGAACACTAAAGAAATAAACTGAAGAAAACCTCAGAAGATGGAAAGATCTCCCATGCTCCTGGATAGGCAGAATTAATGTTGTCAAAATGGCCACACTACCAAAAGCATTATACAGATTTAATGCAATTCCTATTAAAATCCCAGTGAAATTCTTCATAGAAATAGAAAAAGCAATCATGAAATTTAAAATAAGAGACCCAGAATAG